GTAAATTAGAAGGTACGTGTTGACAGTTAGTTTGTTAAAAAAGGGAAGAGTGATGTTGTGTAAATTAGAAGATACATGTTAACAGTTAGTTTGTTAAAGGAAGGGAAGAGTGGTGTTGTGTAAATTAGAAGGTACGTGTTGACAGTTAGTTTGTTAAAGAAAGGGAAGAGTGGTGTTGTGTAAATTAGAAGATACATGTTGACAGTTAGTTTGTTAAAGGAAGGGAAGAGTGGTGTTGTGTAAATTAGAAGATACATGTTGACAGTTAGTTTGTTAAAGAAGGGAAGAGTGGTGTTGTGTAAATTAGAAGATACATGTTGACAGTTAGTTTGTTAAAGGAAGGGAAGAGTGGTGTTGTGTAAATTAGAAGATACGTGTTGACAGTTAGTTTGTTAAACGAAGGGAAGAGTGGTGTTGTGTAAATTAGAAGATACATGTTGACAGTTAGTTTGTTACAGGAAGGGAAGAGTGGTGTTGTGTAAATTAGAAGATACATGTTGACAGTTAGTTTGTTAAAGAATATCAAAAGTATAATTATATAGATTAGATAACCCATGGTAATAGTTATTTTGCTACGGAATGTGAAGATGAGTGCTGTATAGATTAGATAACCCATGGTAATAGTCATTTTGCTACAGAATGTAAAGATGAGTTCTGTATAGATTAGGTAACCCATGGTAATAGTTATTTTGCTACAGAATGTGAAGACGAGTGCTGTATAGATTAGATAACCCATGGTAATAGTTATTTTGTTACAGAATGTAAAGATGAGTGCTGTATAGATTAGATAACCCATGGTAATAGTTATTTTGCTACAGAATGTAAAGATGAGTGCTGTATAGATTAGATAACCCATGGTAATAGTTATTTTGCTACAGAATGTGAAGACGAGTGCTGTATAGATTAGATAATCCATGGTAATAGTTATTTTGCTACGGAATGTGAAGATGAGTGCTTTATAGATTAGATAACCCATGGTAATAGTTATTTTGTTGAGTACATTAAGAATACTGTTGCACATATAAAATATTATATAAAAGCACCAGAAACTGTTAGTATTCTACACCGCAGATAATCCATATTTTAACAGTACCAACAACAGTTTTTAACTGACTATATGCGCAGTGACTTCTTCGTAATGAAACACAAAGGTGGTCTTATACGTAAGTCAATGATGGTTCCGTATGACTTATCTTCACAATCATTCATTTTATTTTAATGACTGGAAATATAACGTAATATAAACATTAATTTTATTTAATGACTGGAAATATAACGTAATATAAACGTTCATTTTATTTTAATGACTGGAAATATAACGTAATATAAACATTAATTTTACTTTAATGACTGGAAATATAACGTAATATAAACATTCATTTTATTTTAATGACTGGAAATATAACGTAATATAAACATTAATTTTACTTTAATGACTGGAAATATAACGTAATATAAACGTTAATTTTATTTTAATGACTGGAAATATAACGTAATATAAACATTCATTTTACTTTAATGACTGGAAATATAACGTAATATAAACATTCATTTTATTTTTAAGAATGGAAATATAACGTAATATAAACATTCATTTTATTTTAATGACTGGAAATATAACGTAATATAAAGAAATGTTTTGTATTTCGTTTCTAATATAACACTGTCAATGACAAACTTAAAGCGTGAAAAACTGACATTTGCTTTGTTAATAAAATAACATTGAAGTAAAAATTGGTGTGTAAAACGAATAAATTTATCCAAGCTCGAAAAACCGTCGTATTGACTGTCATGTGTATTTCATGGTTCTGCTACACTTTACATTTTTGTTGTACTCGGCCCTATTTTCTTAATTCATCTCTTGCCGAGAAACGAAGCAAACGTATACGAACAACGTAATTCGTGTAGGCCTCTCAGGTTTGTATTAATTTAAATATCTGTGGTGTGTAGAAAAATAAAAAGATTAATTATTAAAAAACAATGAATGAAAATGCTGATTGGTTAAGATTAAGTTTCTGTATGCTGAGCGCCTAGACACTAATGGTAAAGTTAAAAATAATTGAGTACTCACTGAATCGAAAATTGATTTTATCTTTTAAGCCTAATCTAAAATGCCTTTCTAGCAAAGGTGGAAATCATTTGAGAGCATGGTGGAGAAGGCCAGCATTGTCTGTGTTCGTTAAAATGTTCCTTTCTCTTCGTTTTGTAATAAGTACCTTGCTCCGAGCTCCATAGCTTTATTTCAGAGGAAAAAGAAATAATACAGTGTAATAGGTATGGACAAGAGAAGAGCGTGTGAACAAAAAAAAAAAAGTATTAACTATAGGCCTACAGCAACAGCAAAGTGGTTGGATTAGCTAACCGATTCTCTTAAAATCCAAGGTACGTCCTTAGGACATTCCCCCTTTTCTTTACCCCTTTCTTAGCTTTGTACGTAGACAACTCGTATCAGCTTGGAACCATCTAAAAGTTGAATAGACCCGTGCCTGTGGATAAAAGGTGGGTTTGTTCTTACGTCGTTATTAACGGAGGTGGCTTGGAACACGATCGTGCTAACCTTGAGTAAAAGGTTCTCCAATTCTCTCGTGCATTTCAATAACTCGGTGCTTGTTTTTTCTTGCTACAAAACTTTGAACAACCAAGAAAAGGGATCAACTTTCCATCAGTATCAGTAGGTAAAGTTCTAAGTATTTTCTATGGCATTTTTAATTCTGAAAATAATGTTTTAGTTACTGACTGTATAGAAGACATAGTATACGCCAGCTTTTCAATGCGAGTCTGAAGTGTAATTTTAGACCAGAGTTATGTAACTTTTCCATGTGTGTCATTGTAATCCTTCTTAGGCTTGAATTTCCGTGAGCTGATTATAATTATTAAACACCATGATAAAGGAGTAACGCCCTTCAGATTGTGAATTTGCCGTTTTTGGAGCATCTTTGTTTTTCTTCTTCACATAACTAGACTTAAAACAGAATTTTCTTAATATCTCTTCACAGAAAGGAAACGAAACGTCAATGTCAACAAACAAGCTACTTGGAATTTTGCTAGGTATAGTATGCTTCTCTTCACCAAGAACTGAAGGAACCCCAATCATGACTTACAAATATAGGGATTCACTTGGTAAGTTCACTGATTTTACTTTTAAATTATTTATTTGTAGTTAAGCATAAAGCTACACAATTGGCTATCTGTGCTGTGCCCATCACGGGTATCGAAACCCGGTTTTTTCGCATTATAAAACGCCAGTCTTATTGCTAAGTCATTGGGGATACTTTTAAATTGATAACAATATTAAAATATATCCAATGCAATGTGAAGTGATTAAAACTTAAATAATTTTTTTTTCTGTCCAAGTAGAAACTATTTTAATCCTTCAACTATAGATGGTCATTTTTGTTGTGCCCAACAAATTCGGTTTCCCAAGGACTAGTAATTTTAAGATATAATAACTTATTGGTATAGTGCTTTCTTTATAGTACCCAACCTGTATTTATTTATACATTTTATATGTTAACAGTTAGTTAAGCATCATAACAAATACTTTAAATTATTTGTTGTGAACTGTTCGTACCAAAGTAACTGGTATTGTCTGGAGAGCTCTTTATC